GATTTATTACACATTCCATGCATATATCAAAACATCACATGTATATCATAAATCTATACAACCATTATGTATCCATCATATTACAAACAAAAATTTAAAAAATAAACATATAGTATTACATTATTAATCTAGAAAGCTTTTGCACAGCAATGGAAATAATCAATGGAGTGAAGACAGGAGCCAAGAAAGAATGGGGAAAAATATTTACAAATTATCCATCCAACAAGAGATTAATAGCCAGAATATCTATATAAAAAAACTAAAACAATTCAATAGTTAAAAAAAAATACACAAATAATCCGATTTAAAAATTGGCAAAATATCTAAATAGACATTTCTTAAAATAAGACATGCAAATGGCAAACAGGCATATAAAAAAATTCTTAGCATTACCAATCATCAGAGAAAGACAAATCAAAACTGCAATGAGATATCATGTCACCTCAACAACCACAAAAGAAACACAAGAAATGCTGGCAAAGATGAGCTGAGAAAGAAATGTTATTACACTGTTGGTGAAACTGTAAATTAGTACAACCATTATAGAACAGTATGGAGGTTCTGAATAAAGTAAAAATAGAACTACCATATAATTCAACAATCCCACTGCTTAATACATCCACCAGAAAGGAAATTGATAGATCAAAGAGATACCTGCACTCTGATTACTGAAGCACTTCTCACAATAGCCAAGGTTTGTAAGCAACTTAAGTATCCATCAATGGATGAATGGATAGAGAAAATGTGATATAGATGCACAATAGAATCTTATTCAATCATGAAAAAGAATTAAATCCTGTCATTTGCAGCAATATGGGTGGAACTAGAGGTCATTATTTAAGTGAAATAAGCCAGGCATAGGAAGGCAAATGTCACACGTTCTCACTCATATGTGGGAGCTACAAAAGTGAATCTCATGGAAGTAGACAATAGAAATGTGGTTACAAGAGGCTGGGAAAGGAAGAGGGGAGGAGGGAATCAAGAGAAGTTGGTTAATGGGTAAAAAAATACAGTTAGATTAAAAAAAATGAGTTCTAGTATTCAATAGTAAGGTAGGGAAATTATAGTTAAGAATAATTTAACTGCATATTTTAAAATAGCTAGAAGGGAAGAATTGTAATGCTCTCAACACAAAGAAAAGACTAATGAGGTGATGGATATCTCAATTACATTGATTTGATCATCACACGTTTTATACATGTATCAAAATATCACATGTATCCCCAAAATATGTACAATAATGATATATCAGTAAAAAAAAAAAAAAAAAAAAAAAAAAAAAAAAAAAAAAAAAAAAAAAAAAAAAAAAAAAAAAAAAAAAAAAAAAAAAAAACATGAGTAAAGAATGCAAGGGTGCCTGTCTGCATGTACTTTATAGTCTTGACTCTGCTGCCAAGCAGAAAGACGAAACAGGTAGAGGTGGCTCCTTGAGTCTTTCTGAGACTCAGAGTATATACAGTTTTTTCTTTGTTTAATTAAGGAACGTGAATTAGATAAGATTCACAGAATTCAATCTACAAATAAAAAAATTTTTAAAAAGTCCCAAGGTATCTCATTATGTGAAGAGTATCTCATTGTATAAAGTGAGCTTTTTCCAAGGACTTCCCTAGGGAAAATCTTATTTGCATCACCTCTCAGGACCTCAATCTTTTAGGAACTCCTCATAGAAAATTATTCAGATCAGTGTTGATGCTTGAAAAATAATTGTTTACCCCATCCAAGAAGACAGCAAGAGTTTGAAATGAAACTTGCTGCAAAGCCCTGTTTTGCTCAGCTGTCAGGAGAGATGATTGAGAATCGCCAGGATTCAACACCTACTTCCAGATATACAGCTTAGCTCTCTGGATGTCTATTGTACTTGGTGTGAGAAAAAAACTCATCCTAAGACTCCAGGTAAAAAGGAAGGTGCTAAAGTGACCAAGAAAGAAAGGTTCTGAAGGGAACAAGAACCTCCCAAACTAGAAATCTTGTCTGTCCTAGGAGAAACCCAAATCTTTATTTTATAACCCACAGTCTATTTGAGAGAAGAGATTTTTCTTTTTTCCTTCTCTAGAATTTTCAGCCTTAGAAATGTTACTACTGGGCTGTTTTTGAGGGGGGACAGTTTAGGTGCTGAGAGTCCCCAAAAACGAAAAGTATTATTGTAGCTCAAACTATCTACACCTTTTCAACTACTAGGATTTCCTTGTCCTGTAATCATTCAGTCATTTCACCACAGGTGTTCTCTTCCTCTTTTGCTTTTCTCATGATCTCTTCTTGGTGAAACCTCTGGACTCACAAGACACTGCCTAATATGCAAGACAGAGCTCCCTGAAATTGGCCACTCATTGTCTCAGAAATAGGGGGAAACCAAAGCTTGGTGAGTACTATGTTTGGTGTATGTGTGCTATAAGCACCAGTACAGTAGTCTTCAGAGGTATTGATAAACACGAGGGGTAAGAATGAGAACAAAAACAGGGTTGCAGATTGAGGGTCTATTCCTATTTCCACTGGAATAAGAGCAACTACCAATCATGCTCTCTCATGTACATACCTCATGTTCCTCCTTATTATGTACAAGATGTCCCCATTCCAAAGAGATCACCTAGGTGGACCAGCAGCAACTGTGTCTTCCAAATTTCATACTGTGCTCTAGGTAGGATGAATAGTGCCTAGTAACATTTGAGTACATGTTTGTGACAGTGCCTTGTGCAAGGAGGAGTCCATTCATTCCTGGATGCATTCAGTTATTCATTCACTAATTCAGTCACTCATGGAACATTTCTTGAAAACATACTACATACCTGGGGATTCAGACATATAGAGTGAGGCAGAGTTACTACCCTTTGAAACTTAGAGTTATGTCAGGGAGACAGTTTCATAAATAATCATGGGTAACTTAATAAGTATCTTTTAAAAGTATATCGTTTTATACATATATCAAAACATATCCATTTCTACACATTAAATATGCACATTTTATTGCATAAAAATTCACCATAATGAAGCAGTAAAAAAGATGTACTCATCAAAAATTGTTGGAAATAGGGTCAGTAATGAATTACTTTATATGTCCTTAATAACATTTGACTTACAGCAGTATTCTTTTTAAAGTTGTTGACAATAACCCTTAATCAGGAACACAGTTTACATTGTAACTCAGTGCACACACACACAAAAAAAATTGAAATTAATACTTTCTCATAACCATGCACCTATTGTAAGAAACAGTTTTTCTTCTTCAAATTTTAATAAATGCTGCTGTTAACTCACTAAATCCATCTCATTAACCATGAATGTGTTATAAATCAGCTTCAAAAACAGACTTATGCAAGAGGTTATGTTGGCTTTTGATGTCAGAATTTATCACTGATTCTCTTGTGTCATGTCCTTAGAGTGAATCTAAAGGGAAAATCTTTCGTATTTAATTCTACCAGTCTCTCAAAGTGTTCCCTGCCACTGCCTTCCTAGTCCCTCAAAGCCAATAGACTCTCCTGCAGGTTGGACCCTCCTGTAGGTTCAGGATGGATCCAATTCAGATCCAATCTTCATGATTAGAAACTTCACTGTCACTCAGTAGTCTTGAAGCTAAGTCATAATTGACAGCTCATGTGCCAGTGCTCCAGCCACATTTCACATTTCTCCTATACTGCCCAGTAGACACAGAAACTTCTGTGTGAAAACAAACTCTGATATGTTTGTCATGTTTGATTTTTCTGTTTCAAGAAGGTCCTGCCAGGAGGGCTGAATTTCTACTTTGATACCTTGTTCATTCTAACAGGTAGCTCAATCCTTTCCAGGGATATCAGATTCCAGCTGTGAGTCCCAGCCATTTTCCCATGACCCTGCTACCTTTCCTAACTCTGATTTATTTACCCATTATTTTGGATTCACCTTTCATTAGCTTAGATTCAATATTTCTATCCAACATAGAGATGGAAAAATTATAAAATCAAATGTGTTCAACATTTACAAGAGATTTTTAAATCAAACATCTGTTCTTCCAACAAGATCTTCACTTTCTGTATTTGGTGCTCCATCATAGTCAACATTTGCCTGATTGCTCTAATTGTGCTCTATTATGCTACAGTAGAAAAATCTACTGTATTCCTTGTTTATTGCTGGCATACAGCAAAGTATAGACTTGGAATAGTGTTTCTTGCCTGGCTTCAGAGCACTGGACTAGTGCCTGGTTTCCTATCAATGCACCCATTCAACTGGTTGAATATTCTGCATCAAACCTCAGCATAAATGAGATCAAACACTGTTATGCCAGATAAGATATTGCAACTATGCAGTAGTTGCAGCTGCATTTGGTCTTCACAAAGGGCCCTTCCTACCACAGTGTGTGGTGCTGCCTAGATGTGGCCACTTGTCCACTGTCTTAGATCTGTGACAGTAAAGTCTCTTCATACCTTGCTCTTGTAAACTAGCATCATCATGAAGGATAGTTTTTCTTTCCAATAAAGAATTTAGGAAAGCATCACGACTAAGGGTCAATAACATGATCAAAAATAACTTCTTAAAATTCTTTTTCTTGCTTAGAAGGATAATAGAGAATTCACAGGAAACAATAGAAAAGTTGATTATTGTTCTCTCCTATTTGATGGAATTAAAGAAAAAATCTACTGTATTATAAGTAAACTAGAAAATAAAAGACAACCTGAGATTTCTATTAAAGGGAGAAATTGCTATATTTTTTCAAGTCATTATAAAATATTTGCATCCTTTTTCTTTAGTTCAAATAACATATAATTTTCTAAGAAGACATTTTTTGACATTAGCCACACAATTGTTGAACAATGACTCTATGGATGATAATGTTCTGCCAGCAAGGAGCAACAAGAAGGCATATTCCTGAATTTTCCATACCTACCAACCACACAACTTTAGTAGAAATATAAGGATAGAAAAATTATAAAATCAAGTGTGTCCAATGTTTACAAAAATTTTCTAAATCAGAACATTTGTTCTTCCAATAAGACCTTCACTTTCTGTATTTGGTACTCCATCATAGTCAATGTTTGATTGTACTAATTATGCTAACTTATAGACAGGAATAAATAATGGGCAAAGAAAACCAAACCTATCTGACTGAATTCATCTTGCTGGGCTTTTCTTCTGATCACCGAACCCAGATCCTGCTGTTTGTGATTTTTCTCATCATCTACTTGTTGACTGTGTTTGGCAATCTGCTCATCATACTCCTAATTCACATTGACTCTCGACTTCACACACCAATGTACTTCTTCCTTAAAAATCTGTCATTTACTGATCTCTGTTTCTCTACAACCATTGTTCCCCAGATGCTATCCCATTTGCTCAACATGAGAAAGACCATGTCTTTTACTAGGTGCTCAATTCAAATGCTTTTCTTCCTAATAGCAGGGTGTACAGAGAGTTCACTTCTAGCAGTGATGTCCTATGACCGCTATGTGGCTGTCTGCAAGCCACTGCACTATTCCACTCTCATGACCCAGAGAATTTGTGTTCGGCTGGTCATGGGGTGCTGGGCCAGTGGAGCATTTGTGTCTTTAGTAGATACCACATTCACTTTATGTCTCCCATATCAGGGACAGAATATAATTAATCATTATTTTTGTGAGCCTCCTGCCCTCTTAAAGCTGGCTTCAGCAGATACCTACAGCACAGAAATGACCATATTTGCAATGGGTGTTGTAATTCTCCTAGGTCCTGTCTCCCTCATCCTTTTCTCCTACTGGAATATTATCTCCACTGTGATTCAAATACAATCAGAAGAGGGAAGGCTAAAGGTTTTCTTTACCTGTGGATCTCACTTCATTGTTGTTTTCTTCTTCTATGGGTCAACAATATTTACCTACATGCAATCTAATTTGAAGCAAATGAATAAAGGGGATAAGGTGGTCTCAGTGTTCTACTCAGTCATAACATCAATGATGAATCCTTTCATTTATAGCCTAAGGAACAAGGATGTGAAGGAAGCACTTAGGAAAGTATTAGGAAAATAGTGTCTCTGAGGCAGTAGTCTATACTGGTATGTAATCAGAGGGCAGAGACATTCTAAAGTGGTTTAACATCTTTAACAGCTTTTTTCCCTGAGCTATCTCCAGTCTGAGACATCAGCAAAAGTCATACAGGTGCCCTTGCATCCCTAGAAATGTTTTCAGATTTGTCTAATGCAGTCTTGCTCAAGCTTATTTACTGTGGCTACAACTCACTTACCTCATAACAGCTTTTTTGGCTCGTATATGAAAGAATATTTTTAACAGTGAATACAATCTTTAACGTGGTGCCTTACAGTGCACCAATCCATGTTCACCTGGGGATGTCCCCTTCTGTCTCTAAACTCCACAGCTGCTTGCTAGACTCATAGGATGCCAACATCATCTATAGCTGTCCATTGCTTTTTGTGAAGTGGGAAAAGTATAGAGGTACTTTATTGTTTTCCCGGAAGTAGTTTAAAGGTGGAGTTCACCTCTCGCTTCAAGATCTCCTCGTAATGTATCTACAATAAAACAATTATGGGTGAAGGATAACATGAGCCATAGAAAATGGGTTGGCCTTGATATGAGTCAAATGTGCTACTTTGACTTCTAGCTGCTATAGCTTCAATGCCCATGGCCTGTCCTTACTTTCCAGTATTGTTTATTCTATGTGATGGTGTCCTTGCTGAATTGGATGTATTGTATGTAGAACAACTCTGCATGGGAAAATAAATGTGTGCAATAATCACTTCACTATGTACATATGAGGTATACTGTTTTCAGATTATGTGGACTAACATGTTAATACAAAAAGAAGCAGATCTTTGATGAAATTGGCATTCTGTTTTCATCAGACACTGAACTATCTCTAAATGTTGGATAATGAAAGTTAGACTTAAGAAATGCAAAAATGCAAGGTGATGTAAATTGGATTTGTGTCCCCACCCAAATCTCACATCAAATTGTAATCCCCAGTGTTAGAGGAGGGGCCTGGTAGGAGATGATTGGATCATGGGGATGCTGTCGTATGGTTTAGCACCATCCCCCAGTGCTGTCTTATGACAGAGTTCTCAAAAGATCTGCTTGTTTAAAAGTGTGTAGCACCTCCCTGCCCGCTTCCTCCTGCTCCCATCATGTCAGATGTGCTCACTTCCCCTTCTCCTTCTACCATGATTGTAAGTTTTGGTGATGCCTCCCCAGAAGCAGAAGCCTGCACAGCCTGCAGAACCGTAGGCCAATTAAACCTTTTTTCCTTATACCAAATACCCAGTTCTCAGGTGTTTCTTTAAAGCAGCATGTGAGTGGACTAACACACAAAGCTAATAATGCAAAGGCTAATAATGTGCCTAAAATGTGTGAATACACATTATAAATTGATATTTCTAAAGTATTAAGCAGAATTTTAGGATCAATGTGTGGTTTTCTGTAGATATACATAGAAATATATGTATATATATATATAGCCTGTAATATCAAATATGGCATATGAAAAATCAAAGCTGAGTATTGTTTTATTGCAGTATAAGAAAGCAGATAATAAAGCCTATTGAAATCATTTTATTTCAGTGCTTATCTATCAAAGACCTTTCTTGATTAGTCATTTAAGTATCTAAACCTACCACACTCATAACTTGCCTACTGCTAGAAGCAATTTTGTACCCTACAGTGTTCAATATGTTGCCCTCTGTGCTATCAAAGTGAATAAGGACTATCCAAAGATTAAGTAATAATGAATATTAGGACAGAAAAAGTCAGTCTATATGTCTGTTTTTGCAAATATAATGGTCAGTCCAAAATTCTGTAGTCATCTGCATATTGTCTCATTAAAGGTGGGTTGGTGGGTAGATAGTGTCAAATAGTGGCATGCTGGCATTTAAAACAATGGCTACTACCTATTAGAAAAGAGTGAGACTGTGAAACAGTTTTGAGATGAAGATGACACTACAAAATGGTCTTAACATGGGGCATGCCAAAGAGAATTATCATGTACACATAAACTTACAAAACTGCTTACAGAAGAAATGCTATATATTGATTTAGTCAGATTATAACATTTCTAACCTAAAGCTCTGGTCAATTGTCAGTATAACCAATACCAGCACTTTTATCAACCTTCAGATTTGTCAAGTGGTAAAGTTGAAAATTTTAAAAGTAGGCAATGTTTGTTCCACAGATGGCAGGTTGTGTGAAAGATATCATGTGCATCACAGATGATGGAAGAACTATAGTGGTCTGCAAAGTCCATCTCAAGGGGCAATCACACCCCTTGGAGATGGAAGAAAAATTGTGTCCAACTATTCAAAAACTGCGACTAGCATGCCATTCTAGTTTTATAAATAGAAAGATCACTAGGTTTTCAGCCTAAGGAGGCATTAAATCTTCAAAAATCATAACAAAAGTATAGTATTCCCTTGAAATTCATCTCGCACATTTCTGCTTGTGTTATAAAAACCAATACTACAAATAAGTGCTACTCAAAGTGTGATCCATGAGCTGGTATCTTTCTATGAACTGCAAGTAATGTATATGCTTTCCAAAAGTATTGGTTCAGCTGGGCACAGTGGCTAATTCCTATAATCTCAGCACTTTGGGAGGCCAAGGCGGGTAGATCATGAGGTCAGGAGTTCAAGACCAGCCTGGCCAACATGGTGAAACCCCGTCTCTATTAAAAATACAAAAATTAGCCAAGCATGGTGGTGCATGCCTGTAATCCCAGCTACTCAGGAGGCTGAGGCAGAAGAATCGCTTGAACCCAGGTGGCAGAGGTTGCAGTGAGCCAAGATCACGCCACTGCAATCCAGCCTGGGTGACAGAGTGAGACTTGGTCTCAAAAAAAAAGAAAAAAAAATTATCAGTCTTTAGTGTATGAAAAAATTCAAAAATACAAAAAGAAGAAAACTAGCTCTGCACTACAGATCTCTTGAGAAGCAGTGTTATAAATAACAGCAGCTACTCTTAGACATTCTGCTGTCTCATGACCACTCTCTTTTCTTACCATTAAGTAATAGGGAAGTCATGTAACATAATTGGAACGATCAATGAAAACATGCTCATGGATCACTCTGAGTTTATAAAAAATTGTATACCTTGTCACCAACAAAAAACTAGTGGAGTCAACAAGGTAAGAAAACACAAATAGTGGCAATAATTTTTAAATGAAAGCACCAACTTCTGACTAGATGCCAGACCATCAGTAACTGTGCAGCAGTGTCTAGATAAATGTATAGCACTTGAGGCTCTAACAAATTACCATAGTTATATTGTTCTGGGAAATACCCATGTTTTCTAGAACAAACACTTTTTCACACTTTAAAGGTAATAAATTTTCTTTCACTTATGACAGATTGTATGACCATTACTTCTGTATTTACTCAACTCATATAATATCAATTTTAGTAACAGATTGAGTCCATCTAATTTATTTACTAATCTTCTAGATGCTAAATACATAGCAATGAACTATGGTCACAACTCCTTCTTTTCTAGAACTTACATTTTGAAAGAGGGTGATACAAAATAAACAAATAAGCACAACGCATAATATGTCTGATGTTAATTAAGTGCTATGAGAAAATAAAAACAAGGGAAGGTAGATTGCAATTTTAAGTAGGTGGGAAGGCTACCTAATGGTTAAAGGACATCTTACATTCAGAGAAATTAACATTTGTGCTGTGACCAAAAGGTGGAGAACAAAGAACTAACCAAGGAAAGATTTGAAGGAAAAGGGTGCAGACAGAATAGGGAGTCTAACAGCTTGGATAAAAATACGATGTTTAAGGTCAGGGCAGAGGAAGGTGTGTCTGGAGGCTGCGTGACAAGAGAGTGGTAATGAATGTCACCAAAACAGGCGGAGGCCAGACCAGTAGGTCTTATGTATTAGTTTCCTACAGTTCCCATAACAAGTTACCACAAACTCTGTGGCTTAAAACAACAGAAATGTATCCTCTCAGTTCTGGAGGACAGATGTCTGCACTCAATCTATTTACAGTCTCTGCTCCCTCCAAAGGTGGTCCTTCCTCTTCCAGCTTCTGGTGGCTTCCTTAGCTTGTGGTAGCATAACTTCAATCTTCACCTCTTCATGTCACCTTCTTCCCTTTGTCTCTATCTTCCTCTCTTCTTATAAGAATGCCTGACATTGGACGTAGGGCTCACCCCAATCCAGGATGATCTCATCCTGAGATTTGCCTTAATCACATTTGCAAAGATATTTATTACAAAGATGGTCACATTCAGAGCTTCCAGGTGAACTTATCTTTTTAGGTAACACAAATTAAACCATGGCAGCCTTGGGAGTTCGAAAAAAGTGATTGATTTTACGTTCAGTGGAAACCCATCATGATACTATGTCTTGGAGGGTCACTTTGAGGGTTATAATGAATTGTGGGGACAAACATGGAAGCAGGAAAAGTAATCAGTGAGGTTGGCTCTCTCGCAGTAGCCCAGGTTAGAAATGATGGACTGAACAAGGATTGTAGCAATAGAGAACAAGAGAAGGTGCCAAGACATGAGCATATAGGTTGTGCAAAGTGAAAAAAGAGAGGATAGAAATATCCTTGCTAAGTCTTTGGCCTGAGCAATGCTGTGGATTCTGGGGAAGACTCAAAAGGAAGACTCTGGAAAAATCAAGAATTTTCCTTTGGACATGTTTATATGGTCCTGTGTTATGTGCTGACTTAGTTTTCACATTGTTCTTCCGTATTTTGATAGATACAATAAAGTCTTCATTTAAACAGTCATAACATCCTGGACTGCACCATGTACCTCTAGTGTGTTTCCCCCATTAGCAGAAGACAATTAGAGCATTTTGAGTACAAATGCAGACAAGAATTCTGAATCCGCTGGTAGTTCTTAGTTTAGCAGGCATCATCCAGATGCAGAATATACTTATATCAGTTACCTTTTACATTATCATCATTACTGAAACCTCTATTTTAAAAATTGTGACAAAGTACTTGGAGACCCCTGAAGTCCATAGGTTGGTTTGAGAAACATTAATGTAGTACGTGACATTAGATGAGATTCAGGTATTTCAGTTTGAGATTACAATTAAAAGTGCCCATGGATATCTTTTACTGTAGAAAGGTTTAAAAAATTAGCAGCACTGACTGCTCCAGGGAATATCCTGATTATAACAGCTCTTGGGGCTTCAGGTTTAAAGATTACTTTTAAGTAAATCCTCTAGACTTGTTCCCAGGTGAATTTTGGATTGTGTCCTTTAATAAGACAGTACTCCTTGAGTTGAGCTAGAATAAGACTCGGCCTAGATGAAGTCCCAACCTCAGCATATTTGGTAAATTGCAGTGGAGGGTGCCTAGCAGGATATGGATTAGCAGCCTGCAGAAACCACAACTTTCTTCATTCATCGCTTATCTCTTCATCATTGCACTGTGTCCTGTGCTTGCCTCATGCCAGTGCTCCAGGTGCGAGTGGTTAGAATGGGGAGGAGTAATTAATTCTTTTAAGGAGTGTGAAATCTTGATTCTGTTCATGAGGACTTTGCCTTTCCTTCTTTTGCTTCTTTCTCTTTACCATCTGGCTTCTGGAGAGAATATATGCTCTTCTTTGTTGCTTCTCCTGAGTAA